GAGTCACATAAGGGACATAGTTATGGGTACTTACACATAGCAACACCTTGCAAGAGATTTGAGGATTTAGGACTAGTCTCATGAAAGCTCATATCCCAATGTGGTGAGTAGCATCTGAGGTCTTCAAAACTTGCAAGCAGCCATCTAAGATACAACTATTGGTCTCTACTCATTCTGAACAAAAGAGAAAGAAGAAAACCACTCAAAGAACGTAGGCTCCAGGCAGAGTAGACTAAAGGAACCGTGTCCTCATCTACCCTGAGACCAGAACAACGAGATGCTGCCCCGGTACCCCGACCAACCATTCTAAACCATAATAGGTGGATAGATAGAACAGTAGAAAAACATGTATAACAAAACTCATTTCCTAAACAGTCCAGAATTATTGAGCCAGTTGAGACTAGAAGTTTCCCCAAGACTCTCACCTTGATATCATCTTTGAACTTTAAGCAAGTTTTCCCATGAGGAGACCTTCTAACGAAGTAACAGATTGGCTCACAAAGAAAAATACAGGATCTTTTTAAAAAGCAGCTCTATGAATCCAGATAGTAGAAAGATATCCTTAAAGCAAAAGTAAGAAAGGAGACAGGGATGGTATATTACGCAAATGTAATTAGCATCATAGAATAGTTTCTGTAGGAATTATTATATGGGACTCCAATTTGCTCTGTAAACTTTTACCTAAAATACCATAAAGTGTTAAAAAAAAATAGAAAAGAAAAGAAAGAAGAAAGAAATGCAGGGGATAGAGGCAAAAGTCGGACAATATTAAGAAGAAGAAAAGAAACGCAGCCAAATCCAGCATGTGAGAATTTTTCCACGACAAATGACGCGCTTTGTCTACAAACCTGTGGGATGAAACCAGTTCATGGTACCGGGCGAGACAGGCCCTTGGTCTTTCAAGTGGAGAGGCTGACCAAGCCAGTGCAGTGTACCCTGATTTTGAATCCTGAAGTGAACAAAGCAAGTGGAAAAACATCATCAGGGAGACCGGGTCTTGGATGATATTAAGGAATTTATTTTTAAAGTTGTTAGGTATGGTAAATTACGTTGTGATTTAAAATTTTCTGTAAAGGCTCTTCACAATTACAAATTAAAAGTGAGCCAAAAGTAACATACTTTTTGTAAGATTTGCTTTAAAGTACTTCAACAAAAACAAAGCAATGAAGTTAAGGTGGGGTAGGGCTGGTATAAATGAAGTAAGTTGGACAAGGGAACATTTTTAACCTGACTGAGACTTGATGCGGTCGTCGTGGGTTCGTTTGTAACCACCAGGAGAAGACGAACCTTCCTACTTCCATAAAGTTTCCCCGTCTCAGGAGCTGACGGGCAGTTCGACTCTGTCATCACGAGTCCGAATTGACCCATTGGAAGTGGTGTGGTTTTTCCATTTGTTTAGTTCGGTACAAGAAGGTTTATACTCTTCTGTTCTGGAGTGCATTTGAAATCTGAGTGCAGGGCAGGGTGGGTGGAGGAGAATGCTGAAGACAAGCCTCCGCTCGAAGCTGCTTCTCACACCTCACCTCCCTTCCTTCGTCCCCCACTCCAGCCATCCAGCTGCTGGCCGGCATGTGGGAATGAGCCACGCACAGGTGTGCTGGTGCTCCTCTTCTGCTCAGATGCTTCTCCTCCAGGCATTTGTCTTCTTGGTTTCCTGGGGGCGGGGGCGGGGAGGGCGTCCTTCATTTTTCATTTTACTAACAGAAAGGAAGGCCTTCCCTGACCACCACAAGTAAAATTACCTCCTTCCCCTCAGTCACGACATTCAAGTTACTCAGGCACTTTTTATTTATTTTGGTAGCAGTTCCCACCATGCATTTATCACTTTGCTTATGGTCATTCATCCCCGAGAGTGTTCCTACCAAGGTAGGGCTGTTTTGCAGGTGCTTGTATTGCCAGCAGCTAGAACATTGCCACTAGCTGTCACCTAGGAGACAACCAATAAGTATTTTTGAAATAAACCTGTAAACATGAGGCCACTCATAATAGTTAAGCATCTCCTTTCCTTTGCCCACTTGCTCGGCTTCCCCTTCGGTTGCATTCCCATGTGTACCTACCAAGAAGCAGTATAGTGACCGCCAAGTCTCCCTCCAGGACAAAGCTGAGATGGAAAAGACAAAATCTTGAGGACAGCTGAAAAACCAACATCCCACATTTGTTGGGCTTTTAAGCCTCCAGGAAGATGGGAAGATTTTGCTTTTGATTTCTTTCCATTGCTACTTACGTAAGGGAGAGCTCTTGTCCCAAATGGCACTTTCAAGCCCTTGGGTTTCTAATTACTTCCAAAATCTATGTCAATGTTGCTCAACTTCTATTCAGATACATCCCAGGGTAAAGCTCTTCTTAAAAATGTTGCTCCTGTCTTTGCCAAATTCAATATTTACTTAAATCTATCGATATAATCTTAGCATTGTGATAGTAGGAACCAATCTTTGCCTTTTGTGAGTAATGAGGTCTCAATCTAATTTGTTTGAAAAGGAACACCTAAATTCTTCCCAAACTTATTTGTGCTTTTTTGCTTACCTTCTACTTAAGCCTCCAATTTGAATTGTTTATTGATATTTCCTCATCTGCACTTTTGACAGTACATCAAAGAGAGCCATGCTTATGCATTAGCCAAGACTAGTGTGGGGATGTACTTTGGAGATGTTGTCAGGAGAGACCAGTCCCTGGACAAAGGACACCATGCTTGGTAAAATAGAGGGCAAAGAGAGCAAGGCCCTGGACAAGATGGGCCAACACAGTGGCTGCAGCAGTGGGCTCAAGGATAAGGACAATTGTGAGGATGGTGCAGGACCAGGCAGTGTGTCATTCTGTTGTCCCTAAGGTCACTGTGAGTCAGAACGGACTCCCTGGCACCTAGCAATGGCAACAGTGTGGGACAGAAACCTAAACTGATCTACCTTAGGCTCAAGGGGACATGTCTTCAAGGAGCCTTGGTGGCACCATCAAATAAGCATTGGGCTGAGAGCTGCAAGGTCAGCAGCTGGAAAGCACATGGTTCTCTGGAAGGAAGATTCGGCTTCTTGACTCCGGTCAGAATTTCCAGTCTTGAAAACCCACGCTGTCCTATAAGGTCACCGGGAGTTGGGTTGACTGGATGGCCATTAGTTTGCTTTGGGGGCTTTGAGTGTCTTCAGTAACACCAGCAGGAATATGGCTAGTCCTCGGGAATAACCTAAGTGCTATCAGGGCACTCTTTAAAAAAAACAAAAACTTTTATTGTGAATTGGTTCAAGGTTTACAGAGTGAATCAATTTTCCAGGCAGTAAACCTTACACTTATTGTTCCATGTCATTGATTACAACTCCCACCATGGATTGTCATTTATCCCACTTTCACCCTGGGGTTCTCATTTCCATTTTTCCTCCTTTCTTACCCTTTTCTACCTTCTGAACTTTGTCCTCAGGCAAACGCTACTCTGTCGGTCTCCAGTGGTTGATTGTTCTAAGGAGTATGCACCTCAGTACTATTGTTGTTCACTATGTAGGTCTATTTATTGTTTGGCTAAAAATTGAGCCCTAGGGTGAGTTCAGTTCCAGGCCTGAAAAGTAACTAAAGACCATTTTCTTGGGAGTTCCAATCAGTAAACCAGTCTTTTTATGATTTTGAATTTTGTTCCAAACTTTTCTGCTATACAGGACCTTCTAATGTGGTCCCTTTCAGAACCATCAGCAGCGGTAGCCAGGCACCAAGGTGGTGGAGTCTGTGGTTCACATGCTGCATTAGTCCTTTAGACTAGTTGTTTCCATACATCTTTGAATTTCTTCACTCCTCCTTGCTCTGGACCACGAGAGACCACTAACAACACTTTAGACAGCAGGGCACTCGTTGATTTTCCCTCATTGCAGATCATGAGGAAGCATAATCTTTAGCAGTTACCTAGAAGCATCTTGACTCTCCCCTCTCAGGTTCCATGTAAGACTCCACTTCCAACCACATGAGGTCTGGGGATGGCTCTGGTCTAGTCTAGTGTGGTCAGATGGAGATGGCGAGTTAGAGTCAGGCAGTAACACGATTATCTTCACTACAGCTGGACCCCAGAAAGAGGGAGGTATTTGTAACAGACCATTCCGTGGGCTTTTACTAAGTTAGCCATAGAGCTCTGTACAAGTGGCACAGAACACAGGGTCCTGTGGTCTAATCTAAGTGTGGTGCTCCAGTGACAGTCTTTGCTTTGGACAGTGTGCTACTTAGCTTTAGGCTGTGCTTCAGCAGTGAGGTCATACTCGTGGCTCATATTAAGATCCTCTACTTAGTATTACCGAACCTTATTTCATTTTTCAATTATTCAATTCAGTGGCCTTGGAGGGGAAATGGATTAGTCAGAGACAGATTCTTCATTCGGGGAAAAGAATGATCATTGCAGGGAAAGAAGCACATAGCACTTTTAAACAGGAATCTTAAGGCCTGAACACAGTGCTACTAGGAAGTTCAACTCATGATTCTAGTTTGAGAAATGGTGAAGCGAGGAAAGAGTAGGGACACAGGATGGATAGGGAGCTAAGGGCACTAGATTTTTACTGGAAATGTTCATAAATTATGAGGTCCCTGTACTAACATTAAATATTTGCCAGTGGGTGGGGAAGAGAATGAAGGAGCCCTTTCACAATGTTGTTTTGCATAATTTTAACAAAATCGACAATATACTCTTATTATACATTATATATCACAGTATTTTAACAAGCTGTTTTTCTTGCTACAGTAAAACAAATGAGATAACTTGGAGGCTTAATTGTATTTTGTTGTGTTCAGTGGCTGTTAATGTGAGTAGGAAGAAATGTTGGTTAACTACACAGTATTTACATACCCTAAATTTTAAAAAATCTGGATTACTTTTATTCTTAAGTAAATTTGATGTTTCCTTTTTATAAATATAACATACTATATGTTAGAGAATTTAAAGTTGCTCTTGAGAAAATGATCTCATGCCACCATGTTAATTCCGTTTTAGGCTTAAATGTGCTTTTTAAAGTTAATGTTTTTCTCTTTCTTTCCAGATCCAAGTATTTTAGAACATGCTCAAGAGGTGAGCACTTAACTATAGAGGTAAGTAGAGTCACAAATTTGATTGGATTAAAAGAACCCTCAGGAGAGCAGAAGGGACTTGTATTTTTCCCTTTTTTTAGGAGCAAGGTATTTGGACAGAAATTTAGTATAGACTTTAATATTTCAAAATTGTTGGTGGTGGTGAACAAGGAAAGGGTTCAAAGACCAGGGCGTGGGGAATAGAGAGAACTATAGTTTGCAACTGCTTTAGGACACAAAAGAGATCCCGAATCTCAAATATAATTTAAAGAGAATATTTATTAGGCCTTGCCTAAGACAAAGGCATATCATCCTGATACGGGAAACTCTTAGCATGGGTCATAATGGTACCTAAGGGTCTGCTGAGTCACAGAGCTTTACAAAGGACATGGGAAGGCAAACGAACGGTCACCAAAGTGTGGTTGGCAGCAGATCAATCTATCACAGTTACCGGTGAGACTACAGAAGTGGGAATGGGATCATGATTGGGCCACAGACATTAAGGTAGACAGAAGACCTTACAAGATTGGTCCAGGGCCTTCTGACCAAAGCGGTCAGGGCATGATTCATGACTGTGCAAGATCCAGTATTGTGATCTCCATCAAGAACCCACACAGGCAAGCCCTTCAGTGAGACTACCCCTCCCTGGACTGGCTAGAGAAGCAGCAGTAGTAATCCATGTTCTGATGCACTCTGTCCAGGAGCAAGACAAGTCCCATCCCAAAGGTCAAAGGTCAGAAGGAATTCAATGAAGGCTTAATCCATGTAGGGAAAGCAAACTGAATTTTGTTTTCATTGTCAGCTATAGCCTTCTGCAAATGGGGTGCTCAGAATTTGAGCTCTAATATATGATTACTACATAAGGCCCTGTTCTTTTTATAGAGTTGGTATATGTACTTAAGTATCCGCTTCTCATTCTCTCTCCTTCACCCTGCAAACTCCGGTAGAGACTACTGTTTTATTAGTCAGTGCTTCACTAAGGCAGTGATTATGGAGATAGATGGTTGCCTGTTCCAGCAGGGACCTGGACAGAATTAAGGCAGCAAGTTAATTTTTAGCAGCTCTTGGCTACTCCATCATATAGTTTGTGAAGGTCTTTGCACATAATTCTTACTGTGACAATGAAATAGCCTGTACTCACCCCATTTAATGGATGAGAAATCAGAAGCTTACATGAAAAAATTTAGCTCTATTATGCAGCCCATAAGTAGCTAAGTAGGACTAGATCCTAAATTCCAGACCAACCTTATCTGGTTTCAAATTTTTTTTAAAATAAGGAGCCTAGTAGTATAGTGTTTATGTGTTGGCTTGCTAACCACAAGGTTAGCAGTTCAAAACCACCAGCTGCTCCACACGATCAAGCTTTCTACTTCTGTAAAGAGTTCCAGTAGTCTGTTCTACTCTGTCCTGTAGGGTTACTATGAGTTGGAATTGACTCGATGGCAGTGAATTGATTAAATAAGGAAGATGTAAAACAGGAATTTGTTTTCTTTTTTTAAATCACAAACCATTACAAAATCCAAGTTCAAGGTAATATATTATCTTGAGTGATTTAAGTCATCGTTTTAGATCCTTACATCTTCTAAAACTTTTGAATATATTGTTTTCCCCCGAGTCTATAAATATCAAAGCAATACTACCAATAGAACACTTTATTCTTCCCTTCAAGTGATTATGTATTTAAGATAGAAATTTTTGTAGTGTCTTTTAATAGTAATAGTGTTTAGAATCATTTAGAATCATAAAAGCATTCATTACACTATGATTAAATTATTTGCCCGCATTCCTGTTTCTATCAAGACATTGTATTTGGAGGTTGTAATTACCACCTAATCGGTATTCGATTCAATGTAGTTACTAGATGAATGCTTACTGTGTGTGTGTGCTGTTGGGTCGCCGCGTACTCATAGTGACCCTACACACAGAATAAACCGCCCTGTGTGGAAGTTCTGCCAGGAATCTCCATGGGAAGAGATTGCCAGGACTTTCCTTCCATGAAGCTGCAAGTAAGTTTGAAGCTCCAGCATTTGGTTAACAGCCAAGTGCACCATCAGGGATCTTTATGACTGAATAGATGAATAGATACATTCTTTAAAATTCTTATATAGTCTTTTTCTAGTCCCTGTTTGCTTAAGACGTTTTTCTTCTTAAGCCATTAAGTGGTCCGTGAGTAAGTCAAATGATTGACACTATCTCACTGCCATCGAGTCAATTCTGACCCATAGTGACCCTGGGGGCCAGGATAGAACTGCCCCTGTGGGTTTCCAAGACTGTCACTCTTTGTGGGAGTAGAAAGCCTCATCTTTGTCCAGAGAAGTCTTTGGCATTTCTTTTTAGCCTTTGGCATTTCGAACAGCTTACCTTGCAGTTAGAAGCCCAGCTCATAACCACTTACCACCAGAGCTGGTAACCAAAGGGCCAGTCAGCATCACTACCACAGAAGAGTTCTGATTATCTACTTCGATAAAGAGTACAGCTAATAAGGTCACTTTTTAGCTAAGTAACAGACTGGCTCATAAAATAAAAAGCATCACTTGTAATGAGCTCATTTTAAAAATTATCTGTTGTTCTTGTTAAGTGCTGTTGAGTTGGTTTCAACCCATAGCAGCTCTATGCACAACAGATGGAAACACTGCCCAGTCTTTCACCATCCTCACGATTGTTGCTATATTGAAGCCCATTGTTGCAGCCAGTGTATCCATCTCATTGAGGGCCTTCCTCTTTTTCACTCCCCCTCTAGATTCCTAAACATGATGTCCTGAAAATATGTCCAAAGTATGTAAGACAAAGTCTTGCCGTGTTTGTCTCTAAAGAGTACTCTGGCCATACTTCTTCAAGCTGAACAGATCAATTTATCCTTTTCGCCGTTGATGGTGCTTTCAATATTCTTTGCCAGCACCACAATTCACATGCATCCATTATTCTTCGGTCTTGTCTATCCAGTGTCCAATTATCACTTGCATATGAGGCCAATGAAAATATCATGACTTGGGTCAGGCACACATTAGTCTAATGTAATATCTTTTGAACTCTTTACTCCGGCACCTGTGATCATTGATTGTGGTTCTGCGTAAGACAAAATCCTTGACAACTTGAACCCTTTCTCCATTTCTCATATTGTTACTTATTGGTCCAGTTTGAGGATTTTAGTTTTCTTGGTGTTTATTTATAATCCATACTGAAGGCTGCAATCCTTAATCTTCCTCAGCAAGTGCTTCAAGTCTTTCTCACTTTCAACAATCAAGGTTGTGTCATCTGTATATCTCAAGTTATTAATAAGTTTCCCTCCATCCTTTTGCCACATTCTTCTTCATATAATCCAGCTTTTTGATGATTTTCCCAGTATATTGATTGAATCAGTATGGTGAGAGGATATAGTAGTCCTAATTCATACCTTTCCTGAGTTTAAACCATGTAGTATCCCCTTATTCTGTTTGTCCAACTGCTTCTTGATTCATGGACAAGTTCCTTCTGAGCACAACGAAGCATTCTGGCATTACCATTCTTCTCAAAGTTTCCATAGTTAGAGCCACACAGTTAAATGCCTTTGCCTAGTCGATAAAACACAAATAAACATCTTTCTGGTATTCTTTGTTTTGAGCCAAGTCCATCTGACATCAGCAATGAAATCCCTTGTTCCGTGGACTCTTCTGAATCTGGCTTGAACCTCAGGCAACTCCCTGTCAGAGTACTGCTCCAACAGAGATAACTATGTGAGACTAAATGGCAAATTTTACTATAAACCAAAGATGAGAAGATAGAGGGCCAGACAAACTAGAGTCCTGGAAACAGCACAACCTAAATGGGATGAATGTGAATGATGACGTATTATTTTTGTAGAGATTGTTAAATAGGAACCTAAGTGGGGGTACCCAAAAAAATACCAGAAAGAAGCTCCACTGGGTGGAGCTTTCATAGTACACATTTTTCCCACTAGGAAGAGCATTGGGCAACTCACTCTGAGTTAGTGCACCCAGTGGCATTGCCCAGGAAGGTTCTCTCTAGTCACAGTGAATTTTCCCTCGAAAGCAGTTTCACTTGAACCTCGTTTTTTTGTGATGGCCGATTACAGAGAATAGCATGTGGCTTTGAAATTTTGTTTCCTGCTCAGGGAAAAATGCCACAGAAAGTGTTGTGATATTGAACACAGCTTACAAGGACAGACCTAGTTCTGGATGAACAGATGGAAATGTTGACTGGTAGTGCCTTTGGAGTTTGTTCCACCAGGTCAGACTGTTAATCAAGCTTTCTATTTAGAGGTTCTGAAAAAATTGCATAATAGTTTGCGACCAAAAAGGCCTGGTTTATGGCAGATGGAGGGAGGGCTGGTGCCCCTGCTCACGCAGCCATCTCAGTGTACCAGTTTTTGGCCAAAAACAGTATGCCTCTCTTGCCCACACACCTTACTCACCTGACCTTGCTTAGGGAGACATCTTTTTGTTTCTGCAAATGCAGAAGGACATGAAAGGACAGCAATTTGATGACTTAGAAGAGATGAAGAATAAAACGAGGGAGGTGCTGTCAACCATCCAAACAGATGAATTTGAAAACTATTTCCAAGAATGGAATCACATATTTGGCAAATATATTAAGTGTAATGGAGTGTACTTTGAAGGTGATAAGGTGGTTTTGTAAAAAAATTTAAATACATAGATTTTGGGGAGGGAAACTCTGGTTTTGGGGGAGGGGTGCCCCCTCGTATACTTTTAGTTTTGACATGATAAAACATTATATGGGACAGCCAAGAAAACTCTATATAGAAGTTCATCTCTGAAACACACAGTTTTGCCGTGAGCCAGTCAAATCAGTGTCAGAAAACAGTGTCATTATGTAAACTAGGTTATCTTTCAAATGATGGATAAATTCCATTGTGTATCCAAAAGGCAGAGAACTAAAAGTATTTGGAGAAAAGCACAATCATGCCAAGTTTTATGTCTACTTGGTTCTATAATTTATTTAACTACCACCAAAGCAACTTTCATGTCTAAAGAGTACTTTGATTGTACTTCCAAGAAAGTTTTGCTCATTTTTCTGGTCTTCTATGATATTCAATATTCTTCACCAGCACCATTATTCAAATGCATCAGTTCTTCTCTGGTCATCTTTCTATTCACTGTCCAGCTTTCACATGCATATGAAGTGATTAAAAATATCGTGGTTTGTTGCACCAGCGTTCTCAAGATGTGACTTCTTACCATTTTATAATCTGGGAATTTTTTGCTTCAGATTTGCACAAAGCAGTATGTCCATTGACTCCTTTACTGCTTCTTATAAGACATTGATTGTAGATCCAAATAAAATGAAATCCTAGACAACTTCAGTATTCTCTCCATACGTCATGATGTTACTTCGTGGTCTGGTTGGGCAGATTTCTGTTTTCTTTATGCCGAAGGTTGTAGTCTTTGATCTTCTTCAGTAAGTGCTTCAAGTCCTCATCACTTTCAGCAGGCAAGGATGTGTCATCTGCATATCATAAGTTGTTAGTGAGTCTTAGCCAGTCCAGATGTCATGTTCTTCATATAGTCCAGGTTCTTGAAATATTTGAGAGATTAAATGGAGGTTCAGTAAAAAAACAAAAATCACCCATTGTTGTTGAGCCAGTTTCCAATCATAACAATCCTAAGAACAGATTAAAACTGTTCTTTAGGATTTCCAAGACTGTAGATCAGTGGTTCTCAACCTGTGGGTCGCAACCCCTTTGGGGGTCGAACGACCCTTTCACAGGGGTCGCCCAATTCATAACAGTAGCAAAATTACAGTTATGAAGTAGCAACCAAAATAATTTTATGGTGGGGTCACCACAACATGAGGAACTGTATTAAAGGGTCGTGGCTTTAGGAAGGGTGAGACCCACTGCAAGTGTAGGTCTTTACGGGAGCAAATAGCCTCATCTCTCACCCAGGGACTGGGTGGTGGGTTCAGATTGCCACCAATTAAACTGAATTAAACAAATAGAAAATCTTGTTATTTGTATACTTTTTGAATAATTTGTTATGAACTCAAGTGAAGTGGAAATTTTTTAAATATGCGTTTAAAACACTGGTATGAAATGTTCTATTCAGTTGATTAAATCATGTAAGATGTATGTAGAAAATTAGTATAATTGAGTAAGCTGATATGAAAATTGGTATAATTGAGTAAGCTGTATTTGACAGAACTATCTTGTAAATATAAAGGTTTGTTATTTTTAAGTTGAAACAGTAACTTATAATTTATTATGAGATATATGCCTTTGATAAATACTCCTCCTAACACGTGCTTTCTTGTTTTTTTTTGTTTTTTGTTTGTTTTTTTCAGTTTGAGAATCTAGTAGAAAGTGATGAAGTAAGTATTTCCATAGTAGTGTAAAACCCTATATTTGTTTTAATTAGTCATCTGATTCTCATATTTTTGATTTTGGGTTTTACCATTGGAATTTTTGCTTTTTATTTTGTTCTGCATCATTTTCTTACTTTATTAATGTATCTGAGTGAATAAGTTCAGAATTTCCACTTTGTAATACTGCATATATGTATACACACTGTATTTAAAGTATATGTAACAGGGTTTTAGGCATTCTGTAGAATTCAAGGAGCTTCAAAAGGGAATCTGTCCTCTTGCTGTTAGATAAGAAAACATTGCACAGTCCAGAGTAGGCGCCTTTTGAAGTATGTAGTTCATGGGCACTAATTATATTTGCAGTGTCATATAACCATGATTACATAACCATTGTCTGTTTCCAAAACTTTTCATTTCCCCAGACAGAAACTATCCATTAAACAGTAATTCCCTATTTCCCCTGTACCTAGCCACTAGTCACTACTAATCTACTTTGGTCTCAATGAGTTTGCCTATTATAGATATTTCATGCAAGTGGGATCATAAAATATTTGTCTTTTTGTGCCTGATTTTACTTAGCATACTATTTTCAAGGTTCATTCATGCTGTAGCCTATATCAGAACTTGGTTTCGCTTTGTGGTTGAACAATCTTCCATTGTTTCATAATTCATGTATCTGTTGATGGACGCTTGTATTGGTCCGCCTTTTGAAAAGTCCGAATGATGCTGCGATAGACAGTGATTTACAAGTATCTGTTTCTCAGTCCATGCTTTCACGTCTTTTGAATACATACCTAGGAGTAGAATTGCTGAGTCATAGATGTTCCACATTTAGATTTTTGAGGAATTGCCAAACTGTTTTCCATAATGGTTGTACCATTTTACATTCCCGCCAGCAATGTGCAAGGGTTCCAAGTTTTTCTGCATCCTCACCAAAACATGATGTCTTGTTTTTCTGATAATAGCTATCCTAGGGGCAGTGAAGTGGTATGTCACAATGGTCTTGATTTGTATTTTATTTTGCTAATGACATGACATTGGACATCTTTTCGTATGACTGTTGCACATTTGTATGTCTTCCAGAGAAAATATCTTTTCAAGTCCCGTGCCCATTTTTTGATTGGGTTGCTTTTTCTTTTTGTTGTTGATTTATAGGGTAGACCTACCTCATGGGTTTCCAAAACTATAACTCTTTATGGGAGTAGAAAGCCTCATTTTCCTCCCTCAGAGCCACTGGTGGTTTCAAACTGCTGACCTTGTTGTTAGCAACCCAACACATAACACTATGCACCAAGGCTCCCTTGAGTTATTGGAATTTTTTATGAGTTATGGATATTAAGCCTTTTTCAGATACAAAATTTCCAAATGTTTTCTTCTAAATGTTATCTTTTCATTTTCTTGATTATGTGCTTTGTTACAAAAAGTTTTTTTGAAGTTTGGTGAAGTCCCAGTTTGTCTGTTTAGTTGTTGTTTTTGCTCAAGCACAAAAGTTCTAAAAATTACTCTTAGTGTATTTTAAGAGGCTTAATGGTATATGAACCATTCTGAATTTTATGACAAATGGTATGAGGCAGGGTTCTAATTTCTTTCTTTGGCATGTTGTCCCAGCACCATTTGTTGAAGACAGTATTCTGTCTCCATTGAATGGACTCAGTACCTGTCTACACTCGCATTTCTGTTCACTCATCAGTATGTTTTTCCTTACCTCTCAGCACTGTACTGTTTTGGGTTTCCTAGCTTTGTAGTACATTTTGAATTCCAGAACTGTAAGTCTGATGCCCTGATTTATTCTGCTCTTTCAAGATTGTTTTGGTGATTCAAGGCCCTTTGCAATATGAATTTACAATCAGCGTTTCTGTTTCTGCAACAACAACAACACCTTTTGATGAGGATTACATTGAACCTGTTGATTTCATGGAACGTGTAGTCTTCCAGTCCATAAGCACACGTCATTCTATTGACACATTCTTTAACCATCTTCTTCATGGATTTCTGAGTATGGAACTTGTCCATGTTGATAGTACAGTCTGCTTCTACCTTAGCTGTTACATCACTATTAGCTACTGGATAAAGTTATTTTTTATTCGGTATAAGACAGATTCACTTTGGATACATCCCCTTCCTACGATGTGTATGCCTATTGTACTACCCCTTCCTGTGATGTGTGGTTACCTGTAATGATGCAACCCCCTAAGGAGATATAATCAATCCTTGGTTAGCAATAAAGTTGGGGCTCTCTCCTGCTCTCGCGGCCAGGCTCCCCCCACGAGGACCACCAAGCGGGGCCGAGGTGAGCATGCTAACATGAAAAAAAAAGATTCACTTTATTAAATGTTGATTTCTATATTTCTTCTCATCTAAAACAATTTTCAGATGCATTCCAGAGTCAGTGATATGTGTATATTTCTTATGCACTGGTTAGGAAAGCCTAGTTTATGTACCAGTTTCCAACTTCGTCACCAAACTAATTGTATGAATTCGCAAATTGGTTAACCTCCCTAGAGCATACTTTCCACATATCTAAAAAAAAGTTCACAGCAAGCTATGACCTTTCATCACAATCGTTTGCTGAGGAGAGAGGAAATGTACTGAACCTTTCTTTAAAAAAAAACTTAAGATATTCTTCAGCCCAACATGTCCCAGACTATTGACAGAATACTACTATCACAGTATAAAGTAGCATATTAAAGGCTCTCAGAACTATTGTTAAAACACTGTTTAAACTCATTCAACATTTTTCAGATTCATTTGGGCTTAAAAACTTTAAGAAATAATAATCCATATTATCGTCTGGTAGAACATGTTAGAGACTACCTTTGTTAGTGCATCTACATTTCTCCCAAATATCTTAGTGTTTCACAAAATTTAGTTTCTTTTTATACCCAGTAGTCACTGTAATCATTGTAATTTTTATATCCTTTTGTGCTCACTGAACAGAATTCTTTTGGGCTCCAATATAGTTTATCCCAACATCTTGTTATTTCATTTGGTTTTCTAAGGTGCTATTGTTCGTTGGTTAGTTGAGAGAATTTTTTTCTTTTTCATCTTTCGCCACATTTGACATTTGGTTTTGTTGAGAGTCATTTTATGTTGTAGTATTATTTTCTAAATTCAGATCATTCAGAATTTTACTCCTGGTGTTACCTGATGATATATATTGACTCTTGTCCAATGTGAACCATTTAAGCAATTTGTGAAAGCCTTGAAAATAGAGTTTGCATTGGAGGAAAACCATAAGCAGTTTCATAAGCATGTGAAGGAAGACAAACTGGTAATGAAGGCATAGGGAATACGCCATTACAGAATGTCTAGTACCATGTGACCCAGAAATCAGTTTGTTGTATAGCAATTATTTGTTAGGAAGTATTAAGAAGTGTCCCCAAAATCAGTGTTATGTAATTAAGCTTAGCTATTAAACTAACTTTTGCCTTTGAGAAATATGAAAAAGTTATATTTAGGATACTTAATAATTATTTTTTTACAGTGATAAAAATATATGCGTAGAAAATATTTTTGATTACATAAAAATTGTATTAATTTGCCTTAAGTAGATTTCAGCTAAGTGAAACTTATTTGTTTAATTAATTTTTATACAGGGAGAAAGCCCAGGAAGCAGTCATAGGTAAGGCTTTAAAAAAACCAAAAACCTCTTCTTTTATGTGAACTGTAGGAAGTTCTTTAAGAGTCCCGGCTCTGTCATTTGTTTGCTTTGATAACATTGAACAGATCACATTTCAGAACTTTGCTTATCCTTTCTGTAATAAATTTGAGACAAATAAGTATCTCAAAAGATTATTTTGAGCATGAAAGAATTTAACTTACCTGCGTGCCTATGTGCTTCCCTATTAAACCTAAGTTGTTATGTCTAAAAAAAATTTTTAATCTTATATTGATAAATACCTTTCCTGTTAAGTTTTTTAAAAGAATATGTGGTACACAGTGGGTTAAGGGTGGGGCTGCTAACTGAAAGGTTGGCTGTTTGAACTTACCATCTGGTGTAGGAGGAAAAGATGAGGCAGTGTGCTTCTGTCAAGACTTACAGCCTCAGAAAGATATTTGCTGCTCAAGCAAATACCTTTTATTTACTCTCCCCTGTACTGTCGCTTATGAGTTGGAATTGACTTAGCACAGAGGGTTTGGTTTTTTTGTTTAAGTTTTATAACTTTGTCTCTCTTTTCCTTCCTTTTGGACATTCCTAAATTTGTTTCACTAATCAGTTGTTAGCAAATCGAGGTAGTATGCCCTTACTCAGGCCATAGCCCAGATCCAATGTAAATGGAGATTTCCTGGGCCCCCCGGGTGGCCTACATCACCCTTTATCTTACAAGAGGTCAAAGGAGAAAGAAGTGAGTAGAGAGAAGGGACCTGACTACTACCAAAAAGGAAGAGGCAAGAATGGAGAGCATCCTTTGAACTCAGGGTCCTGCACTGAGACCCTCCTAGACGGGAAGGTGGATGCCAAGACAGAGGAACATCTCCAGGAAACTGCCATCAATACATATTGAAGGGAAACAAGGGCAGAGAAAGCCTTCCCCTGGAGCTAGCACCCTGAATTCAGACTGCTTGCCTCCTGAACTATGAGAGAATGCATTGTAGTGTGCTAAGACCACCCATTTGTGGTACTTCTGTTACAGCAGCACCAGATAACTAAGGAGATGGTCCTGGAGGAGTAGGATGCCTCACTAATGAAATGTGCAAGTACTTTTAGAATTGGGCAGTGGGTACCGCTTGGTACAGTTTTAAGGTGCATAATAGTAAAGTCTAGATTGCCCTGAAGAAACTACTGGTAGAATTAAGAAACAAAGGCAGTTCTGGTGAGGATTCAGAAAGATGTGAGGGGAGCTATAGAGAAAGCCTCTATTATCTTGGACAATACATACATACAGTGCTGGTAAGAGAATGCTGCTAGAAGTGTGAATGTTAAATGTGATTTGAGTGAGGCTTTAAAATAAAATGATGAACATGTAATCGGAAGATGGAGGAAGCGAGGAACTTTTCATGGAATAGCAAAGACCTTTCTGAATTGTGTTCAGATGGTGGACAGTAGAACTTATAAGTCTGATCTTCAAGGCCACATGGTTCCTCCTTATTGCTTATAGTAAAATGCAAAAAGAAAGAAATAGGAACTTTAAAATTGTGCAAAATGAAAATAGAACCTAAATATTTGGAAAATACTGTCATACAAACTAAGTACACATGTCCTTAAATGTTCACCAAGGACAAAGTTTCTCAATCTTTTGTTAAAGAGATTAAATCTGTGAGTAACGGATCTAATCAACTACCACAGCAAAACAAACAAACAAAAAACCCCAACTGTCAATTCAGACTGAAAGGGGCAGAGAAAGAATGAAAGTAAAAAATGTTGTCTGCCTTTTGACCAGGACCTGACTACCACTAAGAAAGAAAAACTGGAAGCAGACTGTATCCTTTGGATGTGGGGTCGCTGGGCTGAGACCCCAGGGAGATCAACAAGGAACGCTGGACTGATTCCTATTTGTTGAAAGAACACAAAAACCCAGGGGCTTACGTGGAGAGCAGTTGTTTTGAGAATGATGAGGGTAACGAATGAACAAATGTGCTTTATACAATTGATGTATGTATGGATTGTGATAAGAGTTGTATGAGCCCCCAATAAAATTATTTAAAAAAAATCATTTTTTAGTTAAAAAAAAGGAAATAACCCAAAAACCTTCCCCCAGAGCCAACAGTGAGAAAAAGCTTCCCCTGGAGCTGCCGCCTGCATTTGGACGTTAAGCCTCTTAACCACGGACACACACATTTAATTTCCTTTTCTTAAACTAATAAAGTAATAAATTTAACAAGTATTATTTAAAATACTTGTAGTATTTGTATTGTAGCAACACTAGATAAATAAGCATTCAAGGGAGGAAAGTGAAGTGGACTGGCAGATTTTCCTATGAAACTGAGGTAGCAGATTTTCCTATGAAACTGAGGTAATAAGAACCAAAGTTGTATTGTATTTTGTGACGTGGAAGCCACTAAATACCGTTCTAGAATTATTTGATTCAGACATTATGGGAGCAGAAACAGATTAAGTGGGAAGTAAAAGGCTTGAATGTAAAAAAAAAAAAAATAGCATAGTAGGTAACGGCAAGGAGCTAAACTGACTGAAGGCGTTAGTGAAAACAAGTCTCCAGAAATTGACATACTACCATTGGAAATCTTTCAACAAGCTGAGGAAGCCCTGGAAGCAATCACCCATCTGTGCCAAGAAATCTGGAAGACAGATACCTGGTCAACTGACGGAAGAGATCCCTGTTTGTGTGTATTCCAATGCAGAAACTAACCAACAATATAATTAATGTCACATCCAAGTAAAATACTGCTGAAGATATTTAAAAAACAATTGCAGCAGTACACCAACAGAAAGGTGCCAGAAATTTCAAGCCAGATTCAGAAGAGGACATGGCAAGGGAGTATCATTGCTGACATCAAATGCATCTTGGTTGAAAGCAGAGAATATCAGAAAGATAATTACTTGTGTTTTGTTGACTATGCAAAGGCAATTGACTTGTGCATCATAAAAAACTGGATAACATTGAGAACAATAAGAATTCTATTGTGCTCATGCATAATCTATACATGGACCAAGAAGCAGTCATTCAAACAGACAAGGGAATACTGTGTGGTTTAAAAATCAAGAGAGGTGTGCATCAGGCTTGTATCCATACTTATTTAATCTGTATGCTGAACAACCATTCAGAGAAGTCAGGCTATAAAGAAAACGAACACGGCATCAGAAGTGGAGGAAAGCTTATTAACATGCTATGTGGAGATGACACAAATTAGCTTGCTGAAAGCTTCATTGAAGCAAATGAAGAGAAAAGAAGCGTAATAGTTAATAGTGAGAAGACAGACTAACAGAAAGCATTAGTGAAAAACAAGTCTCCAGGAATTTGACTGGTAGATCATAACAAACTCTGGATGGCATTGAGACAATTCAGAATTCTAATTTACTCATGCAGAACCTATACATGAACCAAGAAGCAGTCATTCACACGGAACAAGAGAAAGCTCTGATGAAAATCAAATAATACAACCTTAAGACTTAATTACAACCCAATATAAAGAAAGCAAAAATCCTCACAACTGGATCTAAATACAGCATCATGATAAACTGAGAAAAGATTCAAGTTGTTAAGGATTTCATTTTATTTAGATCCACAGTCATCCCTAAGGGAAGTAGCAATCAAGAAATCATAGCATGAATTGTAAATCTGCCATGGAAGAAGTACAGCCAGGACTGCTGCTGCTGAGAAGTGAGGATGAAGAGACTTGGTCTCATGTACTGTGCATGTGCTGTCAGGAGAGAGAAGTTCCTGCCAAAGGATGTCATCCTTAATAAAGACCTTCCCCAAGATGGATTTACCCAATACCTGCAACAGTGGACTCAGATACACCATTAATTGTGAGGATGGCGTAGGCCAGGCAGTGTTTTGTTATGTTGTAAGGTTGTTCTGAGCCAAAACTGACTAAATGGCAACTAACAACAACACAAGCTTTGCTAAATGTGTACATGGGCATGTTATTAATCTCTTTTAGTCTTAATTTCTCATGTGTAATCAATCGCTTTGTCTACCTTATTGAATTGTTAGGAATAAGTTGAGTGAATATATGAGCACTGAGAATAGTACATGGTATGCAGTAAGTACTGGATGTGTTATTGATTTTATACAGTTAACTGCAGGAATTTTGACAGAATTGGGAAGGAGGGAAGGAGTAGAGGTAGATGTAGGTTTAAAGAAAGTTTATTCTTTCTTTACATCCTTTCCTCCTTCACACAGGAGAGATGCAGAAGAAGGGGGGGGGGGAGACAAAAGTAATAGATTAGTGCTAATTGACAGAGCAAGGTCCCAGAGAAATCTCCCATTAAAATTCGCTGAACTGAGCTCCAAGGTAGTCCAGATAATGCCTCCATCTCTTCGGTCCTTGAGCACAAGTGCTGTTCTGACTGACCAGGAAAAAGAGCATCCAGTGGACATATTCAGTGCTTTGAAAGACTTTTTTCCAAGGTCATTACTGGTGAGGAGACCTGGTGCTATTCTTACAACCCCAAAAGCAAACATCAGTCAAGCCAGTGGAAGACATCCTTGTCACCTTGCCCCCCAAAACCTCGTCAAGTGAAATCAAAGATCAAGATGATGCTCATTTGTTTTGGTGTTGTTGTGAGGGGGATACTGCATTTGGAGTTCTTTCCACCAGGTCAGACTGTTAATCAAGCTTTCTATTTAGAGTTTTCTGAAAAGATTGTATAATAGTGCAAGACAGAAAAGACCTGATTTGTGGCAGATGGGGGACTACTTTTGCCACCAAGACAATGCACCAGCTCACTCAGCCAGCTCAGTGCACCACTTTTTATCAAAAAAACAAACAGCATGTCTCTCTTGCCCCGCGCACATTACTCACCTGACCTCGCTCCGAGCGACCTCTTTTTGTTTCCATGAATGAAGAGGGACATGAAAGGGCAGCGATTTGATGGCTTAGATGAGGTGAATAAAAAAACGAGAGATGCTGTCAGTCATCCAAATAGATGAGTTTGAAAAATGTTTCCAAGAATGAAATCTCAGATTTGGCAAATGTATTAAGTATAATGGAGAATACTTTGAAGCTGCTTAGGTTGCTTTCATATATATACATATATATAATCTTTGAAAAGAAATTCCAGCGTTCTTTTGGTCATCTCCTTTCATTTTCTTAAACCAGAGGAAATACATCAAGAAATTGAGGGAGCTCATGTTGATGCCCCCATTTCTCAAAGTGATGTGGAAATCCTCTTCTAAGAAGAGTTTGTGGAGTGCCCACATTTATACTTTATGATGGGTATTAAAAGTCCAAGATATGTGAACATAGGTTAGGTGGCAGAGATGGATAGAGAACGAAGGTAAATGGAATTCACATTTCTTCTAAAAAAACACCAAAAACTCCAATAATATATCATCTGGGTCTCCTTGTATATCTATATCAGAATACAGCAGGTGTTTGAATATATACTTGTTGCCCTGACAACTGAAATCATAACATCAAATTACTTCAGTCCCTTTTTGACTGCAAAATTTCATAATTTCACCGTCATTTTAGAAGCATTTTATTTGGACTCAGATTCATGTGAGTTGGTTTTTGGTTTTGTTCTACCTTTCTTCCCTCCTCTTCCTTTATCTCTCCAGGCCTCTTACTGAGGAAGAAATCATTGACCTAAGAGAAAGGCATTATGATTCTATTGCTGAAAAACAGAAAGAACTTGATATAAAAATTCAAAAAGAGGTAAATAATCTTTCTATAACTTAAATAGAGCTTTCTTAAAGCATCGGTTTAAAGAGAGTGTTATTAAATAATATGTGTGGACAGTCACTGAGTCATTTCATATATGCAGATTAGAAGTGATTTGACATTAATGATTTCAATCAGATAATTTTAGTTTGGCTTAATATATCAAACATCATGTGTTTGCAAAAAAAATGAAGATAACACATTCTTTAAAAGTACTTTTTTCATTCCCTAGTAGGAGCTCTGACAAGACACCAACATTTGACAAAATTACTGCTTCACAATATTTCACAAGTCGGCAGGCTTTTTAAAATATATTTTTGTTGTACTTTTAGAAATCATGTGTTATATTTATTTAAATGTTTTCACATAAATGATCTGTAAGTATAGTTTTTCTGTTCACTAAACTAAATAGAATTACTATGTTTTACACAAATGTACATTTTTTTTCCAACCACACAATTTCCCCTGATTTTTTTGATAAGCATGCTATGTTGCATAGGTGTTTTGAATTAAAATACAGTAGTCTTATTCCATTTTCCACTGATATGTAATCATTCAAAAACATTCATTTAAGACACACAATCAATACTATTTGCTTAAAGGGAAAAATTTGTTGAAAATTAATTTTTAAGTTAGAGTTGACATGTAATCTATTATAATTCATATTTGAAGGGGTATTTTCAATAGCTACTTAGTAATGTAATTAAGAAATCAAGTGCCAGTCACATAGCAATGTCTGAGTGTTGTGCAAACTTAGTGCACTACGGCGTACAGTGGGGTGATTGACCTTAGTTATGGAGACTGTAGACTCACACATGCCAAAGTCTACTCAGGGCTGTATGTGGGCGGTTGTTGAGTTTGAAAATCACTGCATATTTAAAAATAAAAAAACAAGAAACAAGTCGGTATTGATACAAATTAGATGGAACTGCTTCATAATTCAACTTCTAGAGAATTCAATAATGTGCTTGCTGTTTGATTTACTCTGTACAACGAGAACTTGAAACATGGGCAGTCATTAAGATTACATTTCTGTTGTGCTTTATGGAGATCAATTCTTTTTTTTTTCTTCCGTTTTTTGTTAATTTAATTTTTTCAGATAGAAACATTTATGTGTAGAGCAGTTAGACAGGTTCTGCTTTTTGTTAATCCTTATTGTTTTGTTCATGTACAGTTAGCCTTACAGGAAGAGAAGTTAAGACTAGAAGAAGAAGCTTTATACGCTGCACAGCGTGAAGCAGCCAGGGCAGCAAAGCAGCGAAAGCTCTTGGAGGTGAGGGGAGACCCCGGCAAACTTTAGGGCTGCTTTTCTGACTCCCCCTGCCCCCGCCCACCCCGAATCCAGGGCCTCTTGTTTCGCACTGATGACGGAGATAAACTATTAACACACAGGCTTGCCGCCGAATGACCGAATGACGTCTACCTTTAGGATAAGCTGCTTCCTGTTTACCCTAAAGCTGCATTGTAGTTTCCCAAAATCCAGTGTTCTGAAAACAAGTTCGCTTTCAGAGAGGGAATGTTAAGTATGACTCAGAAAGGGTTTGTTCGTGTACTGTTTGTGAAGTTTGGGGTTGTGGGCCTTTCCTTCAATCCTCAAACTGCTAGAATTTCTTACATTTTATAGAATCAAGTAAGCTGGAGGGATATTGTTGATTTCTCATCTTTATTCTTGTGTCATTGAGAGTTTGGATCTTAAGATGTCTGTGACTTATGATTTGGGATGGCAGGAAATTTACTATATTTACCATATTGTAAATTAATGTGGAGGATCCTGCTGGCACCGTGGGCTAAGCATTTGGGCTGCTAATCACAGTGTCTGCAGTTCAAACCCACGGATGCTGCTCCGTGGGAGAAAGACGAGACAGCCTGTTCCCATAAAATCTTACAGCCTCAGAAACCCTCAGGTGCAGTTCCACTCTGCCCGCAGAATCGACTTGACGGCGCTGGGTTATAGGAATATGGTTGTTAGTAACAGATATTTATGGAATCCTGACTAGGAGTCAGGAACTGTTCTATGTGGTTTACATGCCTTGCTTTGTTTAATCTTTACAACGATTGTAGGAAGCTGGTAGTAGTTTTTGTCACCACAACACAGATGAGGAAACTGAAGCACAGAGTTGTTAAGTAACTTGCCTAAGGCCATACGACTAATAAATGACAAAGCCAGAGTTCACACCCAGCAGGCTACTCCAGTGCAAAGCCAAGTCTCCTGTAGTACAAGATCAGGAAACATAATGATTATTGTAATTTAGAAGCTGGAAAATTGTGTCCATCATACTGTTATGTGATTGTTAAGTAAACTGAGTCCCCTCTCCCTCCCTCTCCCTTCTCCCTCCCCTCCCTCTCCTACTCCCCCCTATTCTTCCCTCTCCCCCTCTCCCTCTCCCTCTCTCTCGCTCTTGCTCTTGCTCTGCCTCAGGGTTGGGGAGGAGGTGCTTCAGCAGAGTCATTAACAAATTAGCTCTTGCCTTCAACTAACCAATGAAAGTTTTGTTTTGTTTTTCTGGTTATAATAAACGCAATTCAATTGATGTATGTATGGATTGTAATAAGAGTTGTATGAGCCCCTAATAAAATGATAAAAATAAATAAATAAACGCAATTCTTTTTACTGTAATAAAGTCATCAGTTGCTCATCTTTTAAAGACTTTAAAAGAATTCCACAAGCAGCTTCCACTTGGATGATTCCCATGTTTCTCCCTGTCCTGACTGACATCCGCAGTATTAGGAATACATAACCATGTAAACAGCAGAAACAGGCACATTACAATCCTTCTGGTTTCCACCCTCACCCTGAGTGTGCATTTCCAGTTGGAGAAGAGAGCAGAGGGCACACCAGGGACATACCACTAACTGTGGGAGCCACAACTCTGACCGGGCTTCTGAATCTTTGGGTGTCATTGCCACTCATTTCACCCAGGATAGAATTTCAAATGCTGTTTTATTGATTCTTTGTCTACCCAACCCCATCTTTTTAGTTTATTAGGAAGCTCTTGGGTATAATGAGAATATTCAGGATGCCAATATAGCTGCTTAAAGTATCTTTTTTTTCTTTTCATTCTGAACAAGATGACTCCAATGGTGGGAATCAGCTTGACAGGAGTGGTTTATTTATTTATTTATTTATTTTGAGATACAATTGTTTTCTAAAATTTTTTTTTTAACCAGCTTTTGTTTTTTATTTTATTTTTTTTTAAACATTTTATTAGGGGCTCATACAACTGTTATCCCAATCCATACACACATCAATTGTGTAAAGCGCATTTGTACATCGTTTCTCAAAACATTTTCTCTCCATTTAAACCCCCAACATTAGGTCCTCATTTTTCCCCTCCCTCCCCGCTCCCCCCTCCCGCATGAGCCCAGGGCAAGATATGACAAAGTATCTTTTGTTTTTTAAGAACTCTGTGTTTCTTGACCAGTTATGGTTTATACATTCATAAACAGACAAATTCTACCCCTCAGAACGAGGATGTGTCGGTATGAACAATGATGACTTGAAGGAAGCTTTATGCTCTGCACAGCTTATAATGGAAAGACTTTAACATTTTTATTTTTAGAAACTAGAAAAAAGTACATTTCGACATTGCATGAGGGTTTTTAGGAAATAGAATTTCATAACATTGATTTTATATTTTATTTTCTTTCCAAAGCAAGAAAGGCAGAGGACTATACAGCGATATCATCTTTCCCGCAGTGGAGAATATCAAAGGTAAATAGTAAGACAGGTCTTTTCCTTTCTGTCATATAATATTTTTAAATAGTCTTATTGGCATATACTTCACAGACCATACAATTTCATCATTTAGTTGTTTAAAGAAGAATCATGCCATCATCTTCAGCATCACCTTCAGGACATTTTCTTCTCGTACTCGTTGTTGGCCCCTGCCATGCCCCTCACGGCCCTGGAGTCATTCTGACTCAGAGAGCCTAGAGGACGCGGTAGAACTGGCTCGGTTGAGTTCTGAGACTGTAACTATTACAGTAGAAAGCCTCGTCTTTTCTCCCTCACAATGGCTGGTGGTTTCAAATTGCTGACCTTTGGTTAGCAGCCCAGTGCATAGCTGCTACACCACCAGGGTCATGCCTCTGCGTAGTTATTAATCCAGTTATTGACCCTCTAGATTTACCTATCCTGGATTTCATATATAAAAAGTCATGCAAAGGACAGCAAGCAAATAAACAAAACCAACAATTACTTGACAAAACGGAAATATTTCTATTGAAAAGAAAGAACCTATTAAAAACTAAAGCAACTTGAAAATGGGTCAGATGGGGAGATCTAGTAAGATATTACATTTTAATCTAACTACCTCTACCATGATCAACACTGCAATGCTTTCTGTGTGATAGCAAGGCAATTCACATCTCTGGACTTTCAAAGGGGATTCACTAAAAGCTTAATCCATGTGTGGACCCTGCAAATAGATTTTGGGCTTCTACCATCATCCATATCCTTCTACACACCACGTAGGTGTTCATAATTTAAGCTATACGACTGCTTTCTCCTCAGGAATTGGATATCATAATTTATAATCTGGGGATCACACAGGCTGCTGTGCTTCTTCCACGTGGACTTAGTTGAACCTTACGTAGAGTGCTGTTTGTTGTTAAATAAGCCTTTAAGACCCAGATGCTATTTCTGATACCCCGACACCTTCTGGTTTTTTTCACCACAGTTTGCTACAGCACTTATGTCTTCAGTGATCTCTTCATGAGGGTGAAATGTCATATAAAATTTTATTTCCAAAGTTCACCCTTGGGTGTTTGCATATGTATTCATGATTTTACTTACTTATATTCCCTAGAAACCAAAACACTAGAGTATTTGCTTTCTTAGAATTAGGAAGTAATTATTTATTTAAACTAACTTTATTGCATTTCCTTAAGAATGGTCCCATCTTCCCTAAAGAAAATGATGCAGTAGCACATTGGGTACCATAAGCTTTTATGTTTTCCTTAGCCCTTCTGCTTTCTGATAATCCATTGCTGGGAAAGACAGTTCCATGTCACATTTCTACTGGTTCCTTACAGTCATGTAAATAGGCTTTTTTATGCTTCCTGGTTGGAAATTGTGGAGTCGGACTTAGGGCTGAGCTTTGGAGACTGGGTTTGAGGATTAGCCATGACGGCAGTACTCTTGTGTTAGCATTAAGAAAATTGAAGCCCTCCTGTCATGCAGAGTGCATTGGAAAGTGCATTGTTGCCGGTGCAAGTGGGTTACATTGTAGCACCCTGTCATTTCATCTTCCTCCTGATCTATTTAAATTGGTTTTGCTTTTTAATGTGTTCTGCTTTTGATTTATTTGATTGAAGTGTTTATCTGCTTCAAATTTGTTATTCTTGTTAGTTTTTTTGTTAGTTTGTTCATTTTTTAATGTTTTCTGTATATAAAATCCAGGATGTAAATGTAGAGTCAGTAGCTGGATTAATGGTTCCTTGGGGGTATGGCAGGGGAGGTTGAGGGGAAATAGGGAGCTAATAACTAGTACAAGAATGAAGAAAATGTTTTAAAACTGATTGTGATGAGTGTACACTGATTCTTGATGTAATTAAACTATTATATGATATGTGAATTATATGCCAATAAAACTGTTGCAGGGAATAAAGAAAATTAAGATGTTTTCATTAGGTTATTCTAACTGTGTAGTCAATGATTACAAATCTCTGTGAGGTAGACCTTGAAACCAAGATGTCATATTTAATTTAGATAGAGATTTATGTTATATCTACAATGTGTGTATGTGTATATATATATGTATATATATATATTTTTTTTGAATGATTTCACTTCTATTACAGTTCAGGACCAGAAGATGACTTTGAATCCTGTTTAAGAAATGTAAAGTCACAGTATGAAGTTTTTCGAAGTAGTAGTAAGTCTTTTAAAATATTCTTTGTAGTTTAACTTTATGCCACACTAATCAGATCATTGGAGATCTTGGCTCTGTTTCTGATAGAAGGACTACCTGCCTTCCTGACCTGCCTGTCCTGAATTACAGGGCATCATCTTGTACTTTTATAAAGAAGGTAGAGCAAAGAGAAATGTCCGGCCATTTCAGTAGGTGTCTACTAAGGACCAGGCACCCCTTTTTCAAACGTGTCTGCTCTATTACTAACCTCCACTCCAGGCTCAAAAAAAAAGAAAGAAAGAAAAGGGAGGGGGGCAGAAGTAGTATAGAAGTGTGCTCTTTAAGTAATTTTAATGATTGCAAATTGTTTAGAAGGTAAAAGTATTTTTTTCTCTTAAGTTTCACGTCAAAACTCGTATACTTCCCAATAGTGGAGTAGTGATCCGTTTTGAAAATATAGTCTGTTTTCTTATTTGTTGTAAAGATTTTGTTTCATCTTTCCATCTCCTTTTACAATTGTCTTATTAAAAATAATACATCACATTCATTTTATTTGACAGTTTTGCCATTCATTAAATCTGCATGTTGATTGTGCTTAAGGTAACAAAAAGAAAACAAACAAATATAAAACCAACCATCCCATATACTGTACTTTCAGGGGCTTATCAATTTCAGTAATTACTTTTTACGACATTAAAAGGAATCTTTTGAAAGAGACCATTGTGGTAAACAGCTAGTATGGTGAGGCAGGATTGCAAAATTACATTGTGTCGCTTGCACGTTCCAGGACTCTCATCCGATGCCACAGTTTTGACACCAAATACTGAAAGCAGTTGCGATTTAATGACCAAAACTAAGTCAACTAGTGGAAATGATGACAGCACCTCCTTAGATCTGGAATGGGAAGATGAAGAAGGTATTTTGTAATCTGAAATGTATCTTAAACCCTTTTTAATCTGTGTTAATTTATATAATTCTCCTGCCATGATTTTTTACTTAACTTGAACTGAAGTAAAACAAGACCTTGAGAAATCAGCATAAAAAATGGTAATGCCCTTAAGCTATTAATGGTTATCGTTTGGTCTAAGTTGTTTAGAAAGTGGCTTAATGTTTACTATTTCTTGAGATTTAGAGAATAAATGTTAATTTTGAATTTTGTAACCCGACCTGTAAGATTCTGCCAGAAGAATTATTGCTCCCTTAAAGGCAACCTGGAGGAGCCCTGGTGGCATAATGGTTACGCATTGGGCTGCTAACTCAAAGCCAGCAGTTCGAAACTGTCAGCTGCACCGAAGGAGAAAGACAGGGCTTTCTACTCCCTTAAAGAGTTACAGTACTTGCAAGAGTAGCTAGAAAAGTATGTGTTGTTATTCTCATCACTTCAATTATTGTTACTCTCTGAGAAATGAAGTTATCATCAGTCTAGGGAGACTTTGGCAGCTATACTGATTTGGCCATGTGAAATTAATAGCAATTGAGTCTCCCATCCATTCTATTTTATTTATGGCTCTCCAGAAATTTCATTTTATATGATAAGTGCGGCTTCAAAACTATCCTTTAGTGGGTACTAATGTTTATTTTTATGTAAGGTGTAGTAGAGGAGTCCTCAAACCAAAAACCAAACCCACTGCCCGTGAGTTGATTCCGACTCAGTCGTGATCCCGTTGGATAAAGCAGAGCTCCTCCGTAGGGAATAGCCAACTTCTTCTTTCCCTCGGCCGCCAACTTTGCCGTTAGCAAAGCAGCCCAGCGCTTAGGCTCCTAACAATTTCCCTTAAAGAAATCCTCCCAAGGACTAGTTTTCTGGGTTTGGGTTTTTTTTTTAAGAAACATGGAAATAAATTCTGATTGTTAAATAAAAGCTGTATTGTTAAGTGGGAAGTTTTAAAGATAGCTTTCTTCACTTCAATGGAAGTTCTAATAATCCTCTGTTCAAATGATAGGGATGAATAGAATGCTTCCAATGAGAGAACGCTCCAAAACCGAGGAAGACATCCTCCGAGCAGCACTGAAGTACAGCAACAAGAAGACAGGAAGTAACCCTACATCCGCCTCCGATGATTCCAATGGGTTGGAGTGGGAGAATGATTTTGTCAGTGCCGAAATGGATGATAATGGCAATTCCGAGTATTCTGGATTTGTAAATCCTGTATTAGAACTGTCTGATTCCAGCATAAAGCTATCTGATGCAGATCAACAGAATCGATAGGGGGACATGGTATTGATCAGTTATGACCAAATGTTAAAACCCAGCTAGAATGTATGAAAGGTTGTGCTGAGCCTTTTGTAAAGGGGAGGTGTTGCAAGTGCTCAGAGTAGGAGTGATAGGAGATATCTGAATTGCTTCAGAATTAAGTGCAATTTCATCATCTGCCTTCCGCTTTTCAAGATGACGTCATCTCACGGATCAAGTTTATTTTCATCATCTTGTTTTCATTACCAAATCCCTGTCTGCTACTGTGGATTTCCAGTTAAAAAATAGTGTTATTGATTTCACTTGGAATGTTTTAAGCCCATTTCAGTTTCTAAATCTGAAAATATTGAGGGTTTGGTTTTTTCCTTTTTTTTCCCATTTATTTTTCAGCAGATGTGAAGGGTGCATGAGGCGGACTTGCCAAATTCACATTCAGAATATGTTCCCTTTTCCGGCATTATCAATTTCAATGACTTGTTTGAATTTTATTGTCTCATAGTAAGCACAATTAATTTGTGTAGATGATCCTAAGGAAGTGCTAAAGCAGTGGTTCTCAACCTTCCTCATACCACGACCCTTGAATACAGTTCCTCAGGTTGTGGTGACTCCCGACCATCGGAAATATGTTTTCCGATGGTCTTAGGCGACCCCTGTGAAAGGGTCATTCGACCCCCCCCAAGGGGTCACAACCCACAAGTTGAGAACCGCTGTGCTAAAGTATCACTTTCTTTCTGCCCTGACTGCGTGTCCTAGCATGGTAATGTTGATGCAGTCTGAACAAAGGAAATATGATGAAAGTAGCCTGTCAGGGTTTGGACATTTAGAATAGATAATGATCAAAAGTAATGTTTAAGAAAGTACACAGTTCAGTTTTTTACCTCAGTTTACATGCCATTACTATAAATGAATATTGACTTTTAAGTTAATTGGTATATTAAATTTCTATATCTTTTTTTAATTCCACATTTCCAGTGAATGATCTTACACAGAATATACTCTCTGTGCATGATTTATTAGGAAAAGAAAGTCGAAAGCGTGGTAATACGGGTATTTCAAAATAACTAAAATCCTTTCTGATATGAAAGGATTTATTGATTTTATTAAGCTTTCCTTTGTCTTATAATACAAGGTGCTTCAATGAGATGGAACTAAGCATATCGATACCTATACCTGCATTTTGTGGTATAACATTAGCTCTTCTTTTCCCTAAAGTTTGTGTATCAGGTTAAATGGTCAAGGCTCTGACATTCCTTAACAAAGCACTTTCTAACAACATTTCTCTTCTCGATTATGCTGTATATTTTAGTAAGCCAACTGCTTCTGAGTTGGTTTGGCTTTTGTTTTGGTTTGTTTTTTCTTAGTGTTTTCTCCTCCTTTTTCTGGCAACAACGGCAGTGCATGTCCTCAACAATATGGGAAGGTCCAGATATAAATAGTAACTTAAAAGTTCTTGCTGTACTTAAAAAAAAAATCATGTGGCCTAAATATGTACATATAATACTTTGGGCAGTGCTATTATTTTTGTCCATGTTAACCGAATTTAAGTTGTAGCTGTGTCATTGGTAGTATTTTAAAGGTAATCTGCATTCACATTGCCTGTATTATACTTTTTAAAGTTTGTACACATCAGGTGTATATTTTGGGTTTCACATAAGCTACTATTGTAATTTTTCTTGGCATTTTGTTCATAAAGAATTTTTTGAAGGAATGGTAGCTTCTCAAGGATTGTGAATAAATACATTTTTACACTTAAAAGTGATAAATGGTTAGATTATTACTGATTGTACTCCATAAACATGCTAACTCTTCTTACGCCTTGCATATAAAATCATTAATTTATTAAATCTAATATTTAGATTCAGAGGAACAAAGTTTGGGAAAGCAAGATGGAATCAATTTTGAAAATGTTCATTTATGTGTTTCAACTACTGAGGAAAAGCAATGTTAAGTCTTGTCTTCATTTATTTTTGTCTGAAAATTAAAATGTACTAGAAGTAACTTATTTATTCAACAGATATTGGAGAATCTCCTGTGTCTGTCAGGACATTAACAACAGCAGTAAAACGATGTGTCAGGCCCCGCCCTGGGGCAGCTTACCTTCCAGTAAGAGGGATTATAAGGCAATCCAAGTGAGCATATAAATAAGAAAACGACAGGTTGCCATTTAGAAAGAGATGATAGGTTGCTGAGGAGTCACGGTACTGTTTTAGAGCGGTCTCCTGACCTTAGGGTTAAAACCTATTTGCTAAGCAGGAAGTAGAAAGCATGGTTCTAAGCAAAGGCAACAGCAAACACAAAGCTCCTGAAGTAGGAAAGCGTTTGGTGTGTTCTGAGAGTAGAAATAGCCCCCGTGCCTGAGCCTTCATGAGTAAGGGAGAAGCATGGTCCCAGCCAGTATGAAAGGAAGATTAGAGCCTACACTGTGGAGCCCTGGTGACGGAGGGCGGGGTTCATGTTGGATTGCTACCGGCAAGATTAGCAGTTCAAATCTATCAGCTGCTCCTTGGGAGAAAGATGAGGCTTTCTATTCCCAGAAGTAGTCACAGTCCCAAACCCACAGGAGCACTTCTAGCTGGTGGTGTAGGGTTGCTACGAGTCTGAATTTATTCAACGGCAGGGAGTTAACTGAGTAGAGACATTGCAAAGCCTCCAAGGCCCTGGTTGAGAGTTGTATCTGAGGCATAATAGGAAGCTACTGATGCTTTCTGAAGCCAGGGGTACCGTGATCTGAAGGATATTTTCAAAAGACTAACTGCTAAGCAGAGAATAGGTTGTAAGAGGGGCAAGGGTATAGTAATCTGTGCTTTGGCTTTATATTTACTGTTGGAATGTAATGGTGCTTGGGGCACCAACCTAAAAACTGGTAGTTCAAATCCTCACAGCGGCACCTTGGAAGAAAGTCCTGGTGTTGGCTTCTGAACGATGGCAGGCAAGAGAACCCTGTGGGGCAGTTCTTATTAACAAACACAGGCGCACTGGGCGTGGGAATCAATGGCAATGGCTTTTATTTGGTAATGACCAAGAAAAGCTACATTTCAGAAGTGAAAAAAGAGCATGTACAATCAAACATAACAGCAGGGTCACAACAGCTCGGGCATGGTGCTCGGGCCACCGTGTGTATTCCACAGCGGCCACAAAAGCGAAGCTCAGCCACCCACGGCATACCAAGCCAGTGCATGAAAATTTGTTTTTGCCTTTCAGATGAACGTGTTTGTCACAAAGTCTCCAAGTCCCTTTCAGTTTTACTTTTCCTCTTTTTTTTTTAAGTTGGTCAAACCACTATTTAGGTGAGGGATAAGGAGTCTGCAGGGATTTAGTTTGTTTGGTTGATTTTTTAAAGAAACATTCTGTATATATTACATACCCATAGCAACAAATGAAATCGATGACAATATCCTGTTAATTAAAATAGGCTATGAAGGCAGCAGATAAAAATGGTACTGTGAAATTTTTACTCACTCAGACCGGCCTCCGAGAGATGCTCTTATAAATGTGTGTAAAGTAATAACTAAAACAAAAATGATAGTTATTTCAAATGCAAAGGACCGTGAAACAAAAATGAGTACAGAGGGTAGGGAATATTGTGTATTATGTGAATTTGGGTTCTTGAGGGAATGGTAGCAGTAACTTCTAATGTAATAGAAGAAATCTTCTAAACTAAGTGAAGACATGGATATGTGTACAGAAATGTTTATCATAGTCCAGGCAAGGCACCAAGAGACTGAACTCATTAAGAAAAATAGCATCGAGTTATTAAAAGCTCTCTAAAATCACCATTTGTTGTTTTCTATCCAGTAACTTCTTGCCCATTTTTTCTGTTAAGAGCGTGCAATCTGACTTCTTTCTCCAGAGGATTGCATCCTTCACAACTTTCACCAAATGATTAAAAATGAACGATCAATCACAGCACCTAACCCCTTGGCCATATCATGGTCTTTGTGACCCAGGTCTGGGCGATCATGATCCTACAGTCATGCAATAAATCCTATAACCGTGGCTACCGTGAATAAGGTTGAGCATGGGAGGGAGTTTTATATACTAAAGTTGGTATGACCTTTTCTCTTATCACCGGGCCATGTATCATGCAGCTTCAAAGACAAGCACTTTGGTTTGTTTCACTATAAGTGGGATGCGCCTAAGGTCTGAGACATTTACTGTGTTGATTCCGCATTTTATCCTCAGTGCTAGGCAAAGATCAGATAACTATTTCTCGAATGAGTGTGCTGTCGTATGCCACGATGCCAGCAGTGTAAACGGCAGAGCCTACGCTGAGACATGAATGAGAGGCATGATGAGTGTTCCTGGTCCTACCATCAGAACTGCTCGTTTTGCGGGGTTTCAGCAAGGGTTTTTATAACTTGCAAAAAAGCACCCCTAAATTAGACTGGTCTCATATTTGCTACTGCTATGTTAATTGATCAGAAACAGGAGTTCAGTGTTGCCAACTTTTGAGAAGAAAAGGTAGGGACTTGAAAGTTTTTAAATCACACAAGCCACAGCGTTAGAAAAAAGATGTACCCGTCATATACACCAGAAAGAAGATTCGGATCCACCACATAGGAAAGAAGCCTGGAAGCAAAGGGAAAGACAGCGCAGCGAGAAACGGCTGTGGCTGTCAGCATGCCACTTATGAAACCGTAAGTCAAAAATGCGTGATAGGCAATTCAGGAAATTCAAACAAAAACAATCATCTTGGAGAGAGGACTTTCTGGGAATTACATAAATTGTATCAGATATAGAAAATATGACCGGATCTTACTGAAAATAAGAGAATTTTAAAGAATCATTTCATTGGGGGCTCGTACAACTCATCACATTCGATACATCCATCCATGGTGTCAAGCACATTGTACTTTTGTTGCCATCATCATTCTCAAAACATTTGCTTTCTCCTTGAGCCCTTGGTATCAGCTCCTCATTTTTTCTCCTCCTCATCCCCCTCCCTCACAAACCCTTGATCATTTATAAATTATTATTTTTTCATGTCTTACACTGTCCGATGTCTCCTTTCACCCACTTTTCTGTTGTCCATCCCCCAAGGGGGCGGTTATATGTAGATCATTGTGATCGGTTCCCCCTTTCTACCCCACCTTCCCCTTACCATCCTGGTATCGTTACTCTCATTATTGGTCCTGAAGGGTTTATCTGTCCTGGATTCCCTGTGTTTCCAGTTCTTATATGTACCAGTGTACATCCTCTGGTCTAGCCCGATTTGTAAGGGAAGAATTTGGATCATGATAGTGGGGCGGGGATGAAACATTAAAGAACTAGAGGAAAGTTGTATGTTTCATTGTTACTATACTACACCCTGACTGGCTCGTCTCAAGAGATAAATTTTTGTGTGATAAGCAAAACCATTAAATGATTACCCTTAAGAAATTACTCTTAGATCAATTAGCAAAAGACAACCTTATGTAAAAATTGACTAAGAACACTGGTAGATATTTAGAATCTGAAACCCCTTCTTACATTGGGGATAGTCCCCACTTTCCATTATAGAAGCTGAAAAACCATATTCTTTCTTATTTTCTTTCTGCTGTGTCCCTGAAGACCATGCAATGGCCACTAAATAAGATAAATACAAAAGCCTCAATGGGCATTTAAGAAA